CCACTTAGTGGTGAATGGCGGTTGTTGTGTGTGCGAGTGTGTCTGCGTGTGTGTGTCTGTGCATGAGTGTATGTGTGTGTGAGTGTCTGTCTGTGTGTGAGTGTATGTGTGAGTGTCTGAGTGTGAGTGTGTGAGTGTGTGTGCGTGAGTGTGTGTGTGCGTGAGTGTATGTGTGAGTGTGTGTGAGTGTATGTGTGAGTGTGTTTGTGTGCGTGTTGTCGTCTGCACACGGGGGGGGGGAGGGGTGCGAGCGGTCACGCGTCGGTTAGCCCTCCCCTAGGTCGACTCGGCCTCAAATGAGTACCTGGTGTAGTGGCGGTGCAGTAAACATCGCCACTGGGGGAGACAAAGGCGGCAGGCGTGGTGCTGGCGACCCACCCCTCGTGTGCCACGGTGCCGGTAGCCTTCAAAGGTGCTGCTACTCGCTACTAACAGCACTTGCCCCAGCAGTCTGTAGAGGCTACACGGGGGACCTTTGTCTGTGTCTACCTTCACAGGTGCTGCTGCTACTCGCTACTAACAGCACTTGCCCCAGTCTGTTAAGAGGCTACACTGGGGATCTTTGTCTGTGTCTACCTTCATAGGCGCTGCTGACACTCGCTACTAACAGCACTTGCCCCAGCAGTCTGTAGAGGGTACACGGGGGATATTTGTCTGTGTCTACCTTCATAGGCGCTGCTGCTACCCGCTACTAACAGCACTTGCCCAGCATCTGAGGCTACACGGGGGATCTTTGTGTCTACCTTCATAGGTGCTGCTACTCGCTACTCACAGCACTTGCCCCAGCAGTCTGTTGAGGCTACACGGGGGACCTTTGTCTGTGTCTACCTTCATAGTGCATAGGTGCTGCTACTCGCTACTAACAGCACTTGCCCCGGCAGTCTGTAGAGGCTACACGGGGGATCTTTGTCTGTGTCTACCTTCATAGGTGCTGCTACTCGCTACTAACACCACTTGCCCAGCAGTCTGTTAAGAGGCTACACGGGATGGGGGGGATTTGTAGTGTGGGCAGTAGGTGTGTGCTAGCAAGTATTTATGAGTTGGCAGTATTTGTGCCTTCAGGTACCAAAGTCTGTGGCTTGCCCGTGTGTGTGTGTCACTGCATCTTCATTGTGCGTGTTATGGCATTTGTGACCGTGTGTGGATAATGGGTGGAGGCGTGGGCACTGTCCACCACCCCACACCCCTCGTGTGCCACAGCGCTGGACTTCAATAGTTGCTGCTCGCTACTAACAGCACTTGCCCCTACACCGTATTAAGGCTACACGGGGAACCTTTGTCTGTGTCTTCCTTATAGCTGCTGCTACTCGCTACTAATTAAGGCTACACGGGGGAACTTTGTCTGTGTCTCCTTCATAGCTGCTGCTACTCGCTACTAGCACTTGCCCCAGCAGCCTGTTGAGGCTTCACGGGGGATCTTTGTCTGTGTCCACCTTCATAGCTCCTGCTGCTACTCGCTACTAACAGCACTTGCCCCTACAGTCTGTTAAGAGGCTACACGGGGGATCTTTGTCTGTGTCCACCTTCATAGCTGCTGCTACTCGCTACTAACAGCACTTGCCCCTACAGTCTGTTAAGAGGCTACACGGGGGATCTTTGTCTGTGTCCACCTTCATAGCTGCTGCTGCTACTCGCTACCAACAGCACTTGCCCCAGCAGTCTGTAGAGGCTACACGGGGAATCTTTGTCTGTGTCTACCTTCATAGCTGCTGCTACTCGCTACTAACAGCACTTGCCCCTACAGTCTGTTGAGGCTTCACGGGAGATCTTTGTCTGTGTCTACTTCATAGTGCTGCTGCTACTCGCTACGAACACGGCACTTGCCCAGCAGTCTGTAGAGGCTACACGGGGGATCTTTCTCTTGTAGTAGTGGGGAGCGGCGGTGCAGTGGTTAGCGCTAGGCTGCTCTATGAACCCGGCGACACGGGTTCGATTCCCGCTCACGGCCAACGGTCCTGGGCCTCCCCTAGGTTGACTCAGCCTCAAATGATTACCTGGTGTAGTAAACATCGCCACTGGGGAGACAAAGGCGGCCGGGCGTGGTTCGTGCCCCACCACCCTGTCATGCGTAGTGCCGTTCTTAATAGTGTTGCTGGTAGTATGTACATGTGTACGTTGAACTTCGTTCACACAATACGTGGCCAACCGTGCTATGGGACTCTGTGTGAGTCTGTGGGTCTCTGTGTGAGTCTGTGGGTCTCTGTGTGAGTCTATGGGTCTCTGTGTGAGTCTAGGGTCTCTGTGTGAGTCTGTGGGTCTATATGGGTCTATGCGTCTGTGGGTCTTTGTGTGGGTCTGTGAGTTTGTGGGTCTTGTGTGAGTCTGTGGGTCAGCGTGTGAGTCTGTGGGTCAGCGTGTGAGTCTGTGTGTCTCTGTGTGAGTCTATGGGTCTCTGTGGAGTCTATGGGTCTCTGTGTGAGTCTGTGGGTCTCTGTGTGTCTATGGGTCTGCGTGTGAGTCTGAGTCTACGTGTGAGTCTGGTGGGGTCTCTGTGTGAGTCTGTGATCTCTGTGTCAGTCAGTGGGTCTCTGTGTGAGTCTGTGGGTCTCTGTGTGAGTCTGTGGGTCTCTGTGTGAGTCTGTGGGTCTCTGTGTGAGTCTGTGGGTCTCTGTGTGGTGAGTTTATGGGTCTCTGTGTGGTGAGTCTATGACTATCTGTGTGATGAGTCTGTGGGTCTCTGTGTGAGTCTGTGGGTCTCTGGTGAGTCTGTGGGTCTCTGTGGAGTTTGTGGGTCTCTGTGTGAGTCTATGGGTCTCTGCATGAGTCTGTGGGTCTCTGTGTGAGTCTGTGGGTCTCTGTGTGAGTCTATGGGTCTACGTGTGAGTCTGTGGGGTCTCTGTGCGAGTCTGTGTGTGCCTCTGTGAGTCTGTGGGTCTTTATGTGAGTCTATGTTTCTCTGTGTGAGTCTGTGGGTCTCTGTGTGAGTCTGTGGGTCTCTGTGTGAGTCTGTGGGTCTCTGTGGGGTCTCTGTGCGAGTCTGTGTGTGCCTCTGTGAGTCTGTGGGTCTCTATGTGAGTCTGTGGGTCTCTGTGTGAGTCTATGGGTCTGTGTGAGTCTGTGGGTCTCTGTGTGATTCTATGTTTCTCTGTGTGAGTCTGTGGGTCTCTGTGTGAGTCTATGGGTCTCCGTGTGAGTCTGTGGGTCTCTGTGTGAGTCTGTGGGTCTCTGTGTGAGTCTGTGGGTTCTCTGTGTGAGTCTGTGGGTCTCTATGTGAGTCTGTGGGTCTCTATGTGAGTCTGTGGGTCTCTGTGTGAGTCTGTGGGTCTCTGTGTGAGTCTATGGGTTTGTGTGAGTCTGTGGGTCTGTGTGAGTCTGTGGGTCTGTGTGAGTCTGTGGGGTCTCTGTGCGAGTCTGTGTGTGCCTCTGTGAGTCTGTGGGTCTTTATGTGAGTCTATGTTTCTCTGTGTGAGTCTGTGGGTCTCTGTGTGAGTCTGTGGGTCTCTGTGTGAGTCTGTGGGTCTCTGTGTGAGTCTGTGGGTCTTTGTCTGAGTCTGTGGGGTCTCTGCGAGTCTGTGTGTGCCTCTGTGAGTCTGTGGGTCTCTATGTGAGTCTATGTTTCTCTGTGTGAGTCTGTGGGTCTCTGTGTGAGTCTGTGGGTCTCTGTGTGAGTCTGTGGGTCTCTGTGTGAGTCTATGGGTCTCTGTGTGAGTCTGTGGGTCTATGTGTGAGTCTGTGGGTCTATGTGTGAGTCTGTGGGTCTCTGTGTGAGTCTGTGGGTCTCTGTGTGAGTCTATGGGTCTCTATGTGAGTCTGTGGGTCTCTGTGTGAGTCTATGGGTCTCTGCGTGAGTCTGTGGGTCTCTGTGTGAGTCTATGGGTCTACGTGTGAGTCTGTGGGGTCTCTGTGCGAGTCTGTGTGTGCCTCTGAGTCTGTGGGTCTCTATGTGAGTCTATGTTTCTCTGTGTGAGTCTGTGGGTCTCTGTGAGTCTATGGGTCTCTGTGTGAGTCTGTGGATCTCTGTGTGAGTCTATGGGTCTTTGTGTGACTCTGTGGGGTCTCTGTGCGAGTCTGTGTGTGCCTCTGTGAGTCTGTGGGTCTCTATGTGAGTCTATGTTTCTCTGTGTGAGTCTGTGGGTCTCTGTGTGAGTCTATGTTTCTCTGTGTGAGTCTGTGGGTCTCTATGTGAGTCTATGTTTCTCTGTGTGAGTCTGTGGGTCTCTGTGTGAGTCTGTGGGTCTCTGTGTGAGTCTATGTTTCTCTGTGTGAGTCTGTGGGTCTCTGTGTGGTGGGTCTGTGGGTCTCTGTGTGAGTCTATGTTTCTCTGTGTGAGTCTGTGGGTCTCTGTGTGAGTCTATGTTTCTCTGTGTGAGTCTGTGGGTCTCTATGTGAGTCTATGTTTCTCTGTGTGAGTCTGTGGGTCTCTGTGTGAGTCTGTGGGTCTCTGTGAGTCTATGTTTCTCTGTGTGAGTCTGTGGGTCTCTATGTGAGTCTATGTGTCTCTGTGTGAGTCTGTGGGTCTCTGTTGAGTCTGTGGGTCTCTGTGTGAGTCTGTGGGTCTCTGTGTGAGTCTGTGGGTCTCTGTGTGAGTCTGTGGGTCTACGTGTGAGTCTGTGGGTCTCTGCGTGAGTCTGTGGGTCTCTGTGTGAGTCTGTGTTTCTCTGTGTGAGTCTGTGGGTCTCTGTGTGAGTCTATGTTTCTCTGTGTGAGTCTGTGGGTCTACGTGTGAGTCTGTGGGTCTCTGTGTGACTCTACGGGTCTCTGTGAGTCTGTGGGTCTCTATGTGAGTCTATGTTTCTCTGTGTGAGTCTGTGGGTCTCTGTGTGAGTCTATGGGACTCTGTGTGAGTCTGTGGGTCTCTGTGCGAGTCTGTGGGTCTCTGTGTGAGTCTCTGGGTCTCTGTGTGAGTCTATGGGACTCTGTGTGAGTCTATGGGTCTCTGTGTGAGTCTGTGGGTCTCTGTGTGAGTCTATGTTTCTCTGTGTGAGTCTGTGGGTCTCTGCGAGTGGGTGAAGTCTGCCGGCGCGTCACGGTGGGCGGCTTTTGTCTTTGTGTGCTCACAGGACCCGGCTGGGATCTTCGAGCTGGTGGAAGTGGTCGGCAATGGAACCTACGGACAAGTGTACAAGGTGCCGTAGCGCCACGCCACACCTCGTTACACCACACACCACGCTGTACCACACCACGTCACACACACCTCGTTACACCACACCACACCATGCTGTACCACGCCACGTACCACACCACGCACCACACCACGTACCACACAACACCACGTACCACACCACACCACGCTGTACCAACACCACGTTACACAACACCACACACATCACACCACACCACGTTACACAACACCACACCACGCTACACAACACCACACCACGTTACACAACACCACACCATGTTGTAACCACACCACACCACGTTACACAACACCACACCACGCTGTACCACACCACGCTATACCACACCACGCTGTACCACACCACACCACGCTGTACCACACCACGCTATACCACACCACACCACGCTGTACCACACCACGCTGTACCCCACCACGCTGCTACACACCCCACACGTTATACCACAACCACGCTGTACCACACCACGCTGTACCACACCACACCACGCTGTACCACACCACGCTGTACCACGAGTCTTTTTGCGGGTCTATGGGACTCTGTGTGAGTCTATGGGTCTCTATGTGAGCCTATTGGATTATCTGTGAGTCTCCCTTGTAGCTGAGTCTCCCCGTGTTTGAGTCTCAGCATGAGTCTATGGGACTCTCTGTGAGTCTATGGGTCTCTTTGTGAGTCTATGGGTCTCTCTGTGAGTCTATGGGTCTCTCTGTGAGTCTATGGGACTCTCTGTGTGAGTCTATGGGTCTCTCTGTGTGAGTCTATGGGTCTCTCTGTGAGTCTATGGGGCTCTCAGTGTGAGTCTATGGGTCTCGCTGTGCGTCTATGGGTCTCGCTGTGCGTCTATGGGTCTCTCTGTGAGTCTATGGGTCTCTCTGTGAGTCTATGGGTCTCTCTGTGAGTCTATGGGTCTCTCTGTGAGTCTATGGGTCTCTCTGTGAGTCTATGGGTCTCTCTGTGAGTCTATGGGTCTCGCTGTGAGTCTATGGGTCTCTCTGTGTGAGTCTATGGGTCTCTGTGTGAGTCTATGGGTCTCTCTGTGAGTCTATGGGTCTTTCTGTGAGTCTATGGGTCTCTCTGTGAGTCTATGGGACTCGCTGTGAGTCTATGGGTCTCATAGTGAGTCTATGGGTCTCTATGTGAGTCTATGGGTCTCTCTGTGAGTCTATGGGACTCGCTGTGAGTCTATGGGACTCGCTGTGAGTCTATGGGTCTCTCTGTGACTCCTTGGGTCTCTCTGTGAGTCTATGGGTCTCTCTGTGAGTCTATGGGTCTCTCTGTGAGTCTATCGGTCTCTCTGAGTCTATGGGTCTCTCTGTGAGTCTATGGGTCTCTTTGTGAGTCTATGGGACTCTCTCTGTGAGTCTACGGGTCTCTCTGTGAGTCTATTGGACTCTCTGTGTGAGTCTATGGGTCTCTCTGTGAGTCTATGGGTCTCTCTGTGAGTCTATGGGACTCTCTGTGAGTCTATGGGACTCTCTGTGAGTCTATGGGCCTCTCTGTGAGTCTATGGGACTCTCTGTGAGTCTTTGGGTCTCTCTGTGAGTCTATGGGTCTCTCTGTGAGTCTATGGGACTCTCTGTGAGTCTATGGGCCTCTCTGAGTCTATGGGACTCTCTGTGAGTCTATGGGCCTCTCTGTGAGTCTATGGGACTCTCTGTAAGTCTATGGACCTCTCTGTGAGTCTATGAGCCTCGCTGTGAGTCTATGGGTCTCTCTGTGAGTCTATGGGCCTCTCTGTGAGTCTATGGGCCTCTCTGTGAGTCTATTGGACTCTCTGTGAGTCTATGGGTCTCTCTGTAAGTCTATGGGTCTCTCTGTGAGTCTTTGGGTCTCTCTGTGAGTCTTTGGGTCTCTCTGTAAGTCTATGGGTCTCTCTGTGAGTCTATGGGACTCTCTGTGTGAGTCTATGGGTCTCTCTGTGAGTCTATGGGACTCTCTGTGTGAGTCGATGGGTCTCTATGTGAGTCTATGGGTCTCTCTGTGAGTCTATGGGACTCTCAGTGTGAGTCTATGGGACTCTCTGTGAGTCTATGGGACTCTCTGTGAGTCTATGGGTCTCTCTGTGAGTCTATGGGACACTCTCTGTGAGTCTATGGGTCTCTCTGTGAGTCTATCGGTCTCTCTGAGTCTATGGGACTCTCTGTGAGTCTATGGGTCTCGCTGTGAGTCTATGGGTCTCTCTGTGAGTCTATGGGGCTCTCTGTGAGTCTATGGGCCTCTCTGTGAGTCTATGGGTCTCTCCATGAGTCTATGGGTCTCTCTGTGAGTCTATGGGTCTCTCAGTGTGAGTCTATGGGTCTCTCTGTGAGTCTATGGGTCTCTCTGTGAGTCTATGGGTCTCTCTGTGAGTCTATGGGGCTCTCAGTGTGAGTCTATGGGTCTCTATGTGAGTCTATGGGTCTCTCTGTGAGTCTATGGGTCTCTCTGTGAGTCTATGGGACTCTCTGTGAGTCTATGGGACTATCTCTGTGAGTCTATGGGACTATCTCTGTGAGTCTATGGGACTATCTCTGTGAGTCTATGGGACTATCTCTGTGAGTCTATGGGTCTCGCTGTGAGCCTATGGGTCTCTCTGTGAGTCTATGGGTCTCTCTGTGAGTCTATGGGCCTCTCTGTGAGTCTATGGGACTCTCTGTGTGAGTCTATGGGTCTCTCTGTGAGTCTATGGGACTCTGTCTGTGAGTCTATGGGACTCTCTGTGAGTCTATGGGTCTCTCTGTGAGTCTATCGGTCTCTCTGAGTCTATGGGTCTCTCTGTGAGTCTATGGGTCTCTCTGTAAGTCTATGGGTCTCTGTGTGAGTCTATGGGTCTCTCTGTGAGTCTATGGGTCTCTCTGTAAGTCTATGGATCTCTCTGTGAGTCTATGAGTCTCTCAGTGAGTCTATGGGTCTCTCTGTAAGTCTATGGATCTCTCTGTGAGTCTACGTGAGTCTTTTAGATGTGTGTACGCCTGTGGGTGTCTCACGTGTTTCTAAGTGAGCCCCAATGGGTTCTGAGTCTCAATGTGTGTGCGTGCCTGCGAGGCTCCGTATACAAGCCTCTGGTCCTTCTACGTGCATGCCAGGCATCTGCCAATCGTCCTTGTCGGTCGACCCACGACACCTGGGTCTGTCCCCATGACCTGCTGGCCAGCAAGCCTTCCACAACTTCACGTGGACCTCGAGGCGCGCACCTAGCCTGGCACGCGCGCCGTGGCGACCGTCGGTTGATGTTGCCGCCGTGCGCGTGTTTACCGGGTCGCCCCCTGTCGACACGCTAGGCCCCGCGTGGTCTCGCGAGGCATGCTGTGAGCAGCAACAGCAGCAGCAACAGCAGCAATAGCAGCAGCAGCAGTAGCAGCAGTAGCAGCAACAGCAGCAGCAGCAATAGCAGCAGCAGCAACAGCAGCAGCAGTAGCAGCAGTAGCAGCAGCAATAGCAACAGCAACAGCAGCAGTAGTAGCAGCAGCAGTAGTAGCAACAGCAACAGCAGCAGCAATAGCAGCAGCAGCAATAGCAGCAGCAATAGCAACAGCAGCAGCAGTAGTAGCAGCAGCAGCAGTAGTAGTAGCAGCAGCAGTAGCAGCAGTAGCAGCAGTAGTAGTAGCAGCAGTAGTAGCAGTATCAGCAGCAGTAGTAGCAGTAGCAGCAGCAGTAGTAGTAGCAGCAGCAGTAGCAGCAGTAGTAGCAGCAATAGCAGCAACAGCAGCAGCAGCAGCAACAGCAGCAGCAATAGCAGCAGCAACAGCAGCAATAGCAGCAGCAGCAGTAGTAGCAGCAGCAGTAGCAGCAGCAGCAGTAGTAGCAGCAGCAGCAGCAATAGCAGCAGCAGCAACAGTAGTAGTAGCAGTAGCAGCAGTAGTAGTAACAACAGTAGTAGCAGTATCAGCAGCAGTAGTAGCAGCAGCAGTAGCAGTATCAGCAGCAGTAGTAGCAGCAGCAGTAGCAGTATCAGCAGCAGCAGCAGTAGCAGCAGTAGTAGTAGCAGCAGCAGCAGTATCAGCAGCAGTATCAGCAGCAGTAGTAGCAGTATCAGCAGCAGTATCAGCAGCAGTAGCAGCAGTAGTAGTAGCAGCAGCAGCAGTAGTAGTAGCAGCAGTAGTAGCAGTATCAGCAGCAGTATCAGCAGCAGTAGCAGAATCAGCAGTAGTATCAGCAGCAGCAATAACAGCAATAGCAGCAGCAACAACAGCAGCAGCAGTATCAGTATCAGCAGCAGCAGCAGCAATAACAGCAGCAGTAGTAGCAGCAGTATCAGCAGCAGCAGCAATAACAGCAGCAGCAGCAGCACCCACACGTCGTGGTGATGGTAGTCGTCGTCGTCGTCGTCACGATCGTCGTCACGATCGTCGTCATGGTGATTGTCGTCATGGTGATTGTCGTCGTCGTTGCCATTGTCGTGGCAGTCATCGTCGTCGTCATGATCCACTGCTGGATGTCGCGCGCCGCACGTGGAGTGTACCACGTGGCGTCGACGCGCAGGGCCACGGCGCCCTAAGTGGGCGGTGGCGCTTACGGCACCAGCTTCCATACAGTCAGCACGGCTCGTGACGGAGGGTTCAGTCTGTGGGTCTCTCTGTGGGTCTCTGTGTGTGTGAGTCTGTGGGTCTCTCTGTGGGTCTCTCTGTGTGTGTGAGTCTGTGGGTCTCTCTGTGGGTCTGTGGGTCTGTGTGAGTCTGTGGGTCTGTGTGAGTCTGTGGGTCTCTCTGTGAGTCTATGGGTCTCTGTGAGTCTATGGGTCTCTGTGTGAGTCTATGGGTCTCTGTGTGTCTCTGTGGGTCTGTGTGTGTGTGTGTGTGTCTGTGGGTCTGTGTGTGTCTGTGGGTCTCTGTGTGAGTCTCTGTGTGTGTGTGTGTCTGTGGGTCTCTGTGTGAGTCTATGGGTCTCTGTGAGTCTATGGGTCTCTGTGTGAGTCTATGGGTCTCTGTGTGTGTCTGTGGGTCTCTGTGTGTGTGTGTGTCTGTGGGTCTCTGTGTGAGTCTCTGTGTGTGTGTGAGTCTGTGGGTCTC